CCTAGTGCAACTGTCTTGTGTAGAAATGAGACGCTTAATTATAAATCGAAGCTCAAATTTCGCCCTATGCAAGAAAATGGAAACTTACTCCATTTATTAAAAAGCATTTCATTCACCAGATGCTGCAAAATCTGTCGCATCAGTGCCAATAATTATATCTTCCTTAGAGGTCCCATTTAAATGTGACATTGTTTTGAAATGTTTAACAATAATGTTCAGTCGCTGTAACTCAGTTATCCAAATACGAAGTTACTTGTGGAATCAGAACCAGTGATTCCTCAGCACCTAAATGACAAACTCGCGTTCCGATCCGAATCCTTTACCATATGCCAGTTCACTTGCGCCTGTGACGCAAGGCATTTTATAAACACGACTAGGGGCTTGTTCAAACGGATGGCTGATCACTGCCTTGCATCACCGCCCGTTGAAGAATATCGGTAATTTGATTCTGCAACACATGGTTAACATGGTCATTTGTCCTTTAAATGCGCCTGTTCCACTCGCAGACGCTACCCACATTAACTCAAGAACCATCTATTGGTCGCCAACGAAGTTAGCGCTATCAGATTTGGGCAAAAGGATGGGGTTTTCTTCGTCTATCCACTAGTTTCAATCTAAATAGATCAGGCTTGGTTACATGTGTTTGCGTATGCCGCATGGTCTGATTGGACAAGCCATTGTTTGAAATTTCATACTGTCTCGCTAACCACCTGCAAATAAGTGGCATTCTACTGTATGAAAATTAGGAGGTCCACTTACATTTATTGTCACCTCACACCTACTATATGCTGGTCCCTAAGCTATCCGCATTCCCTGCATAAGTTCTCTAAGCTACTCAGTACAGTTTTCGTTTGACACACCCAACCTCAATTTTCCGCGTTGTACGGTTAGTCCACTGTGTTAGCCAATCACATTGGAAAAGACAATGCTGCATTTTTACTGGTTAGACTTTAAACTAATTGGCATTAGACACCGTGGACTAGACCAACCCAGCCGTTTGAGAACTCATAACTGTATGCCATTTACGGCCGAACCCATGCAAGCATTACGGAAGTAAACCGCGGAAATATGCTGAGAAATTTTATGTGCGTAATTTCGACATGTGCTGTTTCAATTTTTGTGGTCTACAACAGTAAAATGGCGAGTGCAAAGCTAGAACAGAGAACAATAAAATTCCATCTACCGGATAACGTTAAGGCGAATCATCTACTCGGCAACATAGTTTACGGAATTAACACAACGCATCCCTTTGAACGTGTGATCCTAACCCCCGACACTTTGTTCACTCTCACACATCAGGGTGATTTATTGACAAGGGGAAACCTGGACAGAGATGAGATTTGCAATCGATTTGATTGTTGCGATCAGGAGGTATGTGAAATCCAACTGAATGCTTATCTCTTTTATTCCACTTCATCACCAGTGATGTTTGTGTTAAAGATATTTGTAACTGACGAAAACGACAACCCTCCAGTATTTCCACGAAATCCATCTCCACCAAATTATTCGAAGAATTGTGATTGGGAATTGACGATCCCGGAGTCAGCTCCTGTCGGCAGTAGTCAACCCCTTCCAATTGCCATTGACGTTGATTCTCGTATTTTCAATAATATCAAATACAAATTGTTATATCAGCAAGGTGAGCAAGAAAATATTGGTGTTCCATCTACGCAAAGCGCGTGCGCGGAGTTTAGCCTTATTGCACCGGTTAGCGGATCGTTAAACAGTACCGCCACAAGCGCTCCAGTGTTACGGCTTGATAGACAGTTAGATCGTGAAAACAAATCGAACTACATCTTCATTCTTGTTGCAGAAGATGCTGTGTCACCTAATTTGAGTAATAATTTGACTGTCTGCATCAAGGTCGAAGATGTAAATGACAATTCTCCAGTGTTTGCTGACACATCCATGGGTTTGTTACTAAAGATTCCGGAGGACACTCCCAAACAAAGTGTCTTACACCAATTCAGTGTTGCAGATCTTGACTATGGGGTAAATAAGGAAGTGGAGTTTTCCATAGATTGGACGCCCACTACTAAGCTGTTTAACGACTCCGTGATAGAACGTTTAAAATCGAAATATGCAATTGAGCCGAAAACAGGCAAATTATACGCGGCAAAAGCACTGGATTACGAAAATGAGCTTGAACGTCAAGTTGTGATCATTGTGAAGGCAGTAGACCACGGGACTCCGAGACTCACTGCGAGCGTCAGTCTGACGGTTTCACTCATCGACGTGAACGATAATATCCCTCATATAAGAGTGTTGGATGTCGGTTTGAGAGGCCAGGATTTGGGCTCAGAAGGTGTTACCCTGGCAATTCTCCATGAAAATGATCCAAATCCGAGAGTGCTAAAATTGATTTCAGTATCTGATGATGATTCGGTATCACACGGATTGTTATCCTGTAGGGTGTCAGAAGAATATTCAAAGGACTTTCGTCTAACATTATATTCGGACACAATGTATGGTCTAATGAACATGCGCGCATTTGACTACGAGAGAGAATCTGGTAGCGCTGGGGAATTGACAGCCAAAGTAGAATGTCTGGATGCCGCTGCACCACCCAAGGTCACCGAAAAATGGATTTACATAACTTTGGTGGACACAAATGATAACTGGCCTCAATTTAGTGAATCCAATTATCAGTTCAGTGTTTCAGAAAATGTGGAAATCAACACTGTGATTGGACGGGTTTACGCAACTGATGCAGATTCAGGTCCAAATGGTAATCTCACCTTTTCACTAAGCAGCCATAATCCCAACTTTCTCGACTATATTCAACTTGATGCAGTCACTGGTGTATTGCGCACTACCGCAAAATTAGACAGAGAGTTGATAGACTGTATGGAGTACCAGATCACAGCAACGGACCAAGGTGAATATACATCAATCGGTGTGGATGGCCAACATGATGAAAACGTAAGTCAATTCAGTCTAACTTCCAAAAGTAACACTACCGGATTGACCATAACCATACTGGACGTAAATGATAATGCGCCGGAATACAGTGGGCCTACGGAGTTTTACATTACGGAAAACGTGGAAATCGGATCAGTTGTTCTTATGGTGATCTCATTTAATGACTCAGATCTAGGAAGCAACAGCAATGTTAATATTGTTATGCCGAATACTCATAATTCTCATTCCAACCGCATAAGTTCAGAATTTGCTCCAGATATCTCCATAGGATTGGATCCAGGAACATTTGCCATTACGGATTCCCAGACATTAGTGACCACTGGAGAGATTGATCGAGAGAAACAAGCAAAGCATGTGATCTCAATCGTGGCTGTTGATGATGGCATTCCGAATAAACTTAGTAGCACAACGTCGTTGACAATATTCGTCGCAGATCAAAACGACAATTGCCCTGAACTACTCCATCCGATTAATGGATCGTTTCTCCCTCATCCTGCAGAAGCTGCATACGGGTGGGTAGGTTCGGTCTCCTCGATACCAGTGAATGCAGGGTTAAAAACCTTCGTATCCATTATTCAAGCCAAAGATATGGATGCCGGTGAGAATGGTACTATAGCATATATCCTAACTGCGAATGAAAACGCAGATGACGGATACCAGTATTTTCACTTAGAAGAAGTATCAGGACGTTTGTCAACCTATTGGGATGTCACAACAGAAAGCTCCAAATTGCTGAAGGCACTCGAAGAGCATGAGAATACTTCTACTAGCCATAAAAGTTCTGCTCTTGAAAGAAGTCATAGTCCAAGAGCACCAAAGTCAGGCGTGTATATTTTAAGTGTAAAAATAACGGACAGGGGCATTCCACCGCTAACTACATTGGCCATATTTTATGTGAATATCAGTGACGCGAAAGATGGCTATCTTGGATTCAGCTTTCTGTTTACAGGAGATTACATGAATAATGCTATAATAATGCTACTTATCACGATGTGCAGCTTCGTGCTGATTCTCAGTTTAGTCGCTTTCATTATTTGGGCTCGTTCTAGGAATGAGAATGACCATACCATACCCACTGGAACAGATCAACCTGCAGACTATATTGTTACAACAGCTGCTCCTCAGGGCTTGATGTCCAGGTTTTTCAATGACTCAGGCTACGCTAACTCAGCCGGTTCGAATCGTTTGACTGAGTATATGCATCCGTGGTTACGTCCGAATGTTAATGTCAAAGGGGTGTTCGATGAACACAATGCATACTTATTAACTCATGGAAAACATTTGAACCAGTCTCCTAGTGTCAGTTGCCTTGGGGATCGCGGTGAGGAGAAAATGCTTACTACAAGATATCCGAACGTAATGGAATATGAAATAGCAAGTGTGAGCCCTCCGTCACCCACACAATGTTTACGTGTTGCACATGCCTTTGGTCCCCCCTTACCGATGGACGATAAAACCACATGGATTACAGCTGTGAGACCATTCCATCCGGATACGCTAGCGTGTTTGTTGGACTGCCGTAGTCATTACGATGGATATATTCATTGTTCAAGCAGCAACGATGGCAGTGATAGTGGTGTGGACAGCGCTGTTTTGACCGCGGTTTCTGCACCGATGCATGCATTCCTTCCCAAGGTTGTTGACGAGCAAGCTCAGAAGATGCGATTGACTAACCACATTGTTCCCCACTGTGAACCAATTATACCATGATAGGTATGGTCATCAAAATGCCATAAGATAAAATTACTTTTGTGCCGAATATTCCAAATGCTCCGGCTCAGATAAACCGCACAATTTGTCACTAATATAGGTGCATATACACCGAGTTCTTCATGACGACACGAAAAAGTACAGTCTTGATTGTTGGTGAGTCAACATTTTGGCTGTTTGATTTGTGCCCTTTTAAAAGTAACTCCTTATATGTATGCCTTTTATTGCATTTCCAAATAGTGTTTACAGGGTTCCTTATAGTTGACCGCATATTGTAATCGTAAGTGCTTCGCTCCGGAAGGCCACACTTCTTGAATCTAATAATACACGTATGAGTTGCCCTTCTGTGTGCCATTCCCGATGACTAAATTAGTGTTAAGGTCCGTTTTCATTATGTATAAGACAATCAGTGGGGTGGAGGTCAGCTGATCTATTCCCTGCGTTCACACCAACAATGTATCGATCGGTGGAACATTGACTCTAAACACATCCAGGCAGTTGAAATTTGGGGATATAAGGCACATAGTTACACACTAGCTGACACACTTCGCGGTAATCACGAATCTCAAGAGGAGATTAGCGAAGTATTTTGGATTTTACCCATTATATATATAATTATGATATTAATGATTTCGCTTGGCAGAGGCCAATGTCCGAATTTAGAAAGCATTACGCAGCTCGAACAGTCATAGTTAAATACGTGTCTGTATGGATCAACCAACCGATTTTCCGATTAACTATGCCACGACAGCAAGGGCATACATGCCGTTTCTATGAGAATCATAGTTGATGTGCTTAAACATAACGGTCGACTCAGACAAGCACGCAGTGTTTATGAAACTGTTTACAATTCGTTTATTATGTCGAGATTGACAACACGTTAATTGGCTAATCACACTACGCAACAAAACATTTTTTTTCTGTAACAGAATTATCAAAATCCCTACCTTACATAATACACTCCACTTATCGTAGAAATCTATTCCCATGCTACATAGCACCTCAGGTTACATTAGTATACGCTAATGATTATTTTTATTAATGTCAACGCTACGTCGTACTAGTTAGCTGTAAATTTACTGTACCACAACATGTAAGGAAGGCATCTTTGTGACAAATACGTTTCAAACGTCACTGTAACCCTCGCCGCTAACTACTGACTGTAGCTTGGCACTGTGGAATGATGACTTTCCCGAGATCGTCGCTTGTATGATCTAACGCACTCACCTTGCAGAAATTAGCAAACGTCAACCATCATAGAAGGCATGTACTTGTTACTGAAGAGCCACTGCTTGACTGAAATGTCTTGCTGGAGGCGCTCACCATGATCACCGCTAACAGATCCCAAGATTTTAGGGAAAGTTTCAAGGTGTTTATGCAAAAAGTGCATCTTCGGTGACAATCGAACATGAAAAGTCCGCAATAAGCTTTATTTTGATGCCTTTGTAGTTCACCGCCTTTGTTCTGTCCAAAAATCTTCTACACACTGCCTTGAATGATCCCCGCACTTTTAAATCAAATGAATTCAAATTTGCATTCGAGATCACTGTCCGCCATTACCCCGCGAATATCAGGTCCACTAATCATCCCTACTCTGAGCACTGCATCACTGACTTTACAAACACACGTTTCAGGTACTGGAACGCAAAACCATCTTTCTTTGGGGCTCTGACGAGGTAGTTAGTCAAACGAAGCTTGAAATGCATGGGCGCTAGGTATATTTGATAAAGTTGCACCAGATGTGTATAATTTAACACTCATTTCCCTGAATCATACTCCGTCCTATTTGGCCATTTTCGGTTATGTAGTGCTGTGGAGTTGCTCTACTGTCCCATAGGCACAAGAAACGGCAATATTTTGTGAAGCCTCAGTGCATACCCATTAGGAGTTCGATGACTGAAGTCATCACAGATGTAGTTCAGTGCAGCGAATACCTGTTGCATACTTTCATAATTCTTCTTTATATTGGTGGCTTGTAATAGAGGCACGGTTGGGTACACATTTCCGATGTGGAGCGGTATGGTCTGAAGACTATTCGTGGACGAGCCAATGACCGAACTCCATTCATCACCGATGCAGCTTAAGCCATACTCCTTCATCAGTACTTCTAGGTCGGAACAGTAACGAATGGTTTTCCTCGGGTCATAAAAATCGGAGAATTTGACACTTCTCTTTCTGTACAGAGTAACCTTAGTGTTGGCATCAAGCAATTCCCACTGCTGTAGCCGAGATGCCAGTAACTCCGCCTTATATTTAGGCATGCCCAGTTCAGGTACCGTAATTTATATCTGATTATCCAATAAAATGTAAGTTAAAAACAACAGCTTTAACATTCCCACAGGTGTCAGAACCATGGGAACTTAACGATGCGGAACCGTTGTTCATCAGCAATGATATGTTCCCCGTAGGCATTGGAATGGGTAAATTACAGTCATGAGGAACAGGTCGAATAGTTGATGGAAGATCGGAGTAATGAAATTTGAACATGTTTTGGTTGGCGATTCTCATGACAGGTGTTGGACAGAAGTAGCAGTGTGTCGCGTGTACCCTCAGCTCCTTCCACACCATGCAAATTGCAAAGGATACCTTGCCTTTGCTCTTGAGCCCCGTATTCGGATGAAGAATGCATTGCACACAAACAATAAGTTGCGCCCACTTCTTATCCTGGTTTTTCAATTTGATTTCAAATTATGAGTGATAGGCAGACTTCAGTAGTGAAGAAATGGGTCTGCACTGCAACATTTTAGTAAGTTGTCCCCAGATGTAACAAAAATCATTTCGGTCAAAATGGAGCTAGAGCGGGTTTTATGAGTGGGTACAAGGTTAGTCGAAGGATTACAGGGACGGACGTACCCGAGCGTCTACTTAGTTTGGGAATGCATTCAATGCACTACCGAAGGCTTAGAGGAGACCAAATCCTAAGCTACCGATTTATCTTGGCTATTTAGTCCCGCTAGATTGTCTGTTCTATGCGGTCATACATTGAATCTGGACAAGCCGCGGTCCGATCGGATTAGGGCGGAAATCCGGCTGTCACGCCGAGTTATCGACCGCTGGAACATGCTTCCGGAAAGTGTTATCAGAGAATCTACGATTAAGGGGTTTGAGCGGCAACTTGATGCTCTTGGGTGACAACATGAGACTTTTCCAGTTTCCTGAGTAACTCGCATCTTCGTACTTCGATTTTCTTTTCTCTACTTTTCTTCACGAATTGGTATTATTTTCCTGTTTAAGTGTACTTCCTTATAGTGTACCTTCGATTTCTCTTCCTATCCTTTGCTTACTTCACGTGACTGCCACAGCAAAGACTGCTAGGGCAGGAAACGTGGGCACTAAGTGTTTAGGCAGGGTGCGATACGGGTGCTCCGTTTTAGAACCATCGATAACTGAGCACTTCATCAATTCCTGGCTCAACAATCCACTCAAGATGGAACACACACGGGATTCTCCTATCGTTCCAGTCCCATCTGAACTGAACTGAACTGAACTGACACTGTATCCAATTTCAACAATGACCAAGATATTAATTAAGGAAACACAGCTCTCAGTTGACTTTCAGTATCAGGGGGAAACCATGGTTAAGTGGACTTCTTTTCGACCATTACGGGAAGCCAACTGAACAATCACAGGCAAGCATTCGGAGCATGGAACGCATTGTGTAGCTAAAATGAAAGATGGAAATTAACTATAACCTGACAGAATAGAACCATCTGGTTTGCATATTCGTAATCAGCTCCCTTGGTACTACAAGGAAAACATTCTATCTATCTAATTTCTGTTTTAAATCTGATATTGTGCAGTGTTACATGTGCTTATGGATACCTCTTGTTACCTGATAGCACACCGAGTATGTTCAACAAGCTGTCGGCCATGTGGCGCGGTATGTGCTTGAACAAAGGAAGTCAAATCCGGTGATTCCAACACATAACCCTGATACACTTAAATTTTGACACGGATCATGTCGCGGAAGTTAGTTTTCCTATCAACGTTCGTAAGTTTGATTTTTACCGAGTCTATAGGGTTTACCTGAATTACTAGTGCGATTGCATTGCAGAGCAGATAGCAGCGCGGTAGCCGCCTTGTATATATCCAATGCTCATATGTGCATTAGTCAGATATTAGTGTTATAGTGTTATGTCACAATAACAAGCAACTTCCAAGAGTCATGCTGTTATACTACTGTGATTTTGCACTGAATACCTTGTATTCGGGTGTGAGTCTGTGAATGGCATGGTTGGCAACGCAGAGCAAGTTCATTACTGGTTTTCTGCTGGTACAGACATTTGTAGTTTTTCAATTCACTAATGCAATATACAATCTGATTGCCATTGCTGAAGCAACATGTCAGTGCAAGAAGTCATTTTGCACATCATCCTGCAAGCATATTTGCCATTTCACTCAAACCACGTAGGCAAATTACTCTGAACCCATAGGCTGCTCTAAAGTAGTTTGATGGAGCAAGCGCTGTATCTTGACATAATTGGGTTCATTATCATGGCCTCTTTGTCTTTAATTTGGTAAAGGTTACATTTGTGATATTCGTTCATAAACGATTTACAACTCAATTATAACAAAGAGCAAGAAGCCATAACCCTATTTAATACATATGCAATGCGCTTGCACCATGTATATTATTCAGGGTTTAATGGATGGTGCTTAAAATTAGCAAATTCAAAATTCCCTCTATATATCCTTTGCAGCATGCTCAGGTACGTTCTGATGTACTGTCATATCTACACTTTATACCCTCTGTCAGTAATAACTCCATATCCTTCTTTATTTACGGACTGTTTAGCTCTGATGTTCCGCGTGGTTTTACAATAGATCTGCATAAGGCAACTATCGCAGCATAAAGCAAAGTTTACATAATTCGGGAAGGTTATTGATCTTAGGTAAAACGGATTATTCGATAAAATTGTAGCTAAACTTTGGACTGTGATTGGTCGCCTTACCCACCTTGACTCCAGAAGAAGAGAGCGGTTAGCATTCCATTTGAGCCC